TTTTTTTTGATGATATAAAGGCGAATTTAAATTGTTTCGCGATCCTTTTAACTCGGAAGGAAAATTCCGGTTGCATAGAACAGAAGAGGAAATCTAGTAAAATTGTAGAATCGAATTATTTACAGCCTGCGTCTATAGATGTTGTTGTTGTATTGATACTTCGTGAATTATCGTGCAAGAGGGTTCTGATTTATGAAAAATCTCCCAGATACATTTATTTCGGTAGATAATTGAAAGGTAAAAACAGTAGGCAAAGTTAAAAAAAAAAAAAGTTCTGGCTAAGAAATGATCAATAGCTATAATTGGAAGTTAAAAACAGTACGTAAAATTGAAAAAAAAGTTCTCGTCAAGAAATGATTAATAGCTACCTGTTAATGTAAGCCTAGAGTGTTAATCGATCTGCACTTTCAAGTTCGATTTTCTCGAAAGTGTAGGTTTTGTTTTTTTTTTTTTTTTTAATACTCACGAATCGAATTATTTACAGCCTGCGTCTATAGATGTTGTTGTTGTATTGATACTTCGTGAATTATCGTGCAAGAGGTTTCTGATTTATAAAAAGTTTCCCAGATACATTTATTTCGGTAGACAATTGAAAGGTAAAAACAGTAGGTAAAGTTAAAAAAAAAAGTTCTGGCTAAGAAATGCTCAATAGCTATAATTAGAAATTAAAAGCAGTACGTAAAATTGAAGAAAAAAGTTCTTGTCAAGAAATGATTAATAGCTACCTGTTAATGTAAGCCTAGAGTGTTAATCGATCTGCGCTTTCAAGTTCGCTTTTCTCGATAGCGTAGGTTTTGTTTTTTTTTTAGTACTCATGAAATCGTTTAGTCTTCTTTTATTTTTGATTCTTTTAGTTACGTTTTTTAGTTACTTCGATTACTCGGATTTGTCCAACAAACGTATTTACGTAGACGTTTCTTTTTTTAAGGAGGATAATTTACTGTTGAATAAAGACAACGTTCCCAATTCTCCTAAATCACCTTGCTTCTGTCAGATAATTTCGAATTTCGAAATTGCTGGAAGAACCAACCAGCCGTGAATGATGAACGCGAGCTGTTGGTTTTTCCACGAATGCTTTTCGTCGCACGAGAAATCGATAGCCATTGGCGTTGCTAAATCTTTCATGCGTAAAAAGCAAAACTTATAATCAGGTGTTCGTAACAGAGGCGTGAACCTTTAAGATCCCCTTGTCTTTATGAAACGGTCGCGAGGGTGCATAAATGAAGAAGAAGGCCTCTATGTGAATTACCTCGTCGCGAAATTTAATACCGAGAATAGTTTATGCGTGTACCTGGAAACGACATGCCGAAATGCATAACGCGTAAACGATAAAATTTTTCGATACAACTGTATAATGTTCTTCGACGATCCAACTTACCTTCTTCTCCCCGCATTTCCTCGAAATTAATTCACTTGAGTCTGCGAAACTGGAAAAAAATGCGCGACGCCATAACTGGGCCATGCGTTTAATAATCGATGATCGGATGAACAGATCACCACATATTGCCATCTACATTCACGTCATTATTATAACGCGTAGCGAAAAAAATATTTCAGATAAAGTTGAATGATTTCGAGAGAAACACATTTTGATGATACTAGTTTTCTTATAAGTGGACGTGTAGAGAACATATGAAGATGATTAACGTAGAATCATTAATTTTTTTATACTCCTCGATACTCTTTATAAGAAAATATTAACCTATTTATTTATGTGAAAAAGTCATTTAAGAGATATTTTAATTTTAATTTAGTTTAGGAGATATTTTAATTTTAATCTTATTAGGATTTCATGACGCCTTTGTCAATGTTTTAATGATCTTATTTACAGAAATGGTTCAGTGTGACGACCATTTGCATCACGACATTTTCTGAATCGATAGATTAATAAATTCGCTCGCATTGTGCAATGTATCTGGTGTTATTTTATTACACTCAGCGATGATACGATCTGTCATATTGGCCATTGTAGTCGGAGGCTCAGCTTATTATTCTAACAAGGTTAAAATTAAAATATCTCCTAAACTAATGACTTTTTAACATAAAAATATGCGACGCCATAATTGGGCCATGCATTTAATAATCGATGATCGGATGAACAGATCACCACATATTGCCATCTACATTCACGTCATTATTATAACGCGTAGCGAAAAAAATGTTTCAGATAAAGTTGAATGATTTCGAGAGAAACACATTTTGATGATACTAGTTTTCTTATAAGTGGACGTGTAGAGAACATATGAAAATGATTAACGTGGAATCATTTATTTTTTTATACTCCTTGATACTCTTTACAAGAAAGTATTAACCTATTTATGTTAAAAAGCATTAGTTTAGGAGATATTTTAATTTTAATCGTTGTTAAGAGATCATGACCCCTTTGTCAATGCTTTAATGATCTTATTTACAGAAATGGTTCAATGTGACGACCATTTGCATCACGAAATTTTCTGAATCGATAGATTAATAAATTCGCTCGCATTATGCAATGTATCTGGTGTTATTTTATTACACTCAGCGATGATACGATCTCTTATATTGGCCATTGTAGTCGGAGGCTCAGCTTATTTCCTAACAAGATTAAAATTAAAATATCTCCTAAACTAATGACTGTTTAACATAAAATTTAACATAAAAATCTTAAAAAATTTCCTAACAAGATTAAAATTAAAATATCTCCTAAACTAATGACTAATTTTATCATAAATAGGTTGATACTTTCTTGCAAAGAATATCAACTGACGCGATAAAAAAAATATATGAATCCATTTAAAAAAACGTTAATAACCTTTTCATGTGTCCTCTACACGTCCACCTAGAAGAAAACTAGCATCATCAAAATGTGCCACTCTCGAAACCATTCAACTTCATTCTGAAACATCTTTCGCTACGCGTAATAATAACGACGTGAAATCTAGATGGCAATATGTGGTGATCCACCCTGTATAAAAATCACAAAATCGGTCGGCAAGGGCATAATTACTCAAGTACGGTGAATCGAGAGAGAGAAAGAGAGAGAGAGAGAGAGAGAGAGAGAGAGAGAGAGAGAGAGAGAGAGAAGGGAAGAAAAGAATGGGGAGAAGGTTGGTTAGGGTAGAATGGCGGTCGGATTCAAGCATCGGAGAAATCCGCATTCACGTAAAGGAGGATCAGCCGTGGAAAAGCATCTTACACCGAGTCTACGATACCTAATTCCCGGGAGTTCTTTGATATATATGCCCACGCCAGTTCGTTCTGTCGCAGCGACAGAGAGAGTCTATACAAAGGGAGAAATAAATATCACGGTAATCTCGGATCCGCTATGTGGGACACGCACACACATATTGGAGGAGATCTTCGACGTCCTCGTCATCCGTGCACCCAGCCAGAAGTTCATTGGCAACGGCCGCTATTTAATGCGGGCCAATGTACGAACCTATGCGAGAACTTTTGCCTTTCGTTCTCTATTCGTATTATGCAACAGCGAAGAGCATCGCTGAGAGCATCAATTACGACGTGCGCTGGCAACTGGTTCGCGGACCATAACGAGCGGCCGAACCGTGTACAATAATTCGTCGCTTTTACTTTCATTTTCGAACTCGTTGGTGCGATATCACTGGATAGAAATTATTGAGAAGCAACAAACTTGTCATTCGTTTTGCCTAGGT